AGTGACATTTAACCACTGGCCCTAACCGGCTAGGGAAAATGGAGCTGTCTTTAATATTTGTTTTTTATTTCCAAGAAATCTATTTGGGTAAGATGAATATTAGACATATATGCTAGTAAAGGTAAGTAAATCCACCTTATGACAGAAAAGAACATAATTCCTTCACTGCTAAGCAAAAAAAAAAAAAAAAAAAAAAAAGAGTGGTGAGTCATTTGTTCAAGACAGAGGCTCTTCTGGATGTAAGTGTACACAGATATCCAGCATTAAACTCTGTTAAGGACAACCAGTGAAAAAAAAGATGAGCAGAAAGATTACCTCCCACCCCATGATGTAAAGTTTCCACACGGCAACATCTGGAGGCTGCACAGGCCAGATGACTTTAATAGAAGGCTCAGAGGTGAGAAAGCATGCTTAGCCTTGGCTCTCTGTGAGCACAGCTTGTTGCTGAACCAATTCACTCTGCTTCTATTTCACAGTTCCATTGTCCCAACCAAGTGCCCTCATTTGGTTCTCCCAAGGCATGAAGCCCTTTTCTCAGACCAGCCCTGCTGCCTTCACTGTGGGTCCCCAGACTCCTTGTCTGCTGGCTCCCTCTCATTAAAAGAATCTCCCTTCCCAGCCTCCTCATTCCAGAGGAAGTCTCTGACTCGGCACCATGTTTATTTCTGAGTCCGACTCCAGGGCTTGACATCTAACAGATATCGATTTGTGTAATTAATAAATGCTTCCTCTAAAAATTAATAAATGTTCCCTCCAGCTATAAAAGTACATACCACACCACTCCTTAAGAGAATCTGAGTGACCAATAAAAATTAATTATAGGTTTAGTTAGGCACACATACAGCCACGTGATAGTAAAACACCAAGAATGTAATGATTAGTCAAGCCATTCAGGATCAGAGGCTAATTAATCTGTTGCTCAGGTAGCATTTTAAGCAGGTGCCACACTGAACAACCTGTGACCCAGACCTGTTTCACAGGTATTCCCTCCTCTGAACACTGACCTGTGACTATTATCTGTCCCATTCATCCATTCAATAGGTACCTCTACTGCTTTATGAATCAAAGCAACCTCTTGAAATATTTTTATTTATTTATTTGCTAATTCTCACCCGAGGATATTTTTCCATTATTTTTTTAGAGAGCATGGAAGTGAGGGGGAGAGAGAGAGAAACATGGATATGAAAGAGGCACATCGATAGGTTGCCTTCCAGAGGCATCCAGACTGGGGGGCTGGGGACAGATCCTGCAACCGAGGTATGTGCCCTTTGTTGGAATTGAACCTGTGACCTTCAGACTGCAGGCCATGCTCTAACCACTGAGACAAACTGGCTAGGGCCTTATGTAATAGATTTTAAGCTCTTGGTAAGCAAGGACCACTCTTTTAATAATAATAGCAAACACTATTATATTTTCTATGTGCTCGTCATAATGTTATATGCTTTTTTGTATTAATAATATATGCAATGAAGCCATTATTGGAACCCAAGCTGAATGACCTCAGAGCCTGGCACACCCTTTCCTTAAACCTGGACTTGTTACTTCTCAACTGTTTGTATGGCCTTGACTATGTTGCCTCAGTTTCTTCCTCTGTAAAATAGGCAGACATAGTACCTATCTCAGAGGGTTGTTGTGAAGATCAAAGAAATCTGATGCCTGTAAAATGCTTAGAAGATGGCTGGTACATAACAGGTACTCATTAAATGTTTAGTTGTTGTTGTTATTGTTTATAGGAAAGTCCCCCGTCCTGGGAAATCCCTCGGTCCCAGTGTTTCATGGAAAGTCCCATGTCCTTGGCAAACGTTCACAATAGGTCCAGGGGGCAGGCCGAGGACAGGGGGTCGGCTGCTGTCCTGTGGTCACCCTTCACTGCCTGCCTCTCTCAGAGCCCAGCTCAAAATTTCCCTGCAGGCCCTCTAATTGCCCATGCCCCCACCACACACAGTATTTCTACTTCTTAGTCAACAGGTTGTGATGCAGAAATTGTTACCTTTTGTCACATAAACATTCTTCTATGTAGACCATCTCCCTGTTTTCCCACGTAGGGGATAGTTTTTTAACCATCCCCTAGCAGTGGTTCTCAACCTTCCTAATGCCGCGACCCCTCTTTTTTCTTTTTTTTCAAAAAATATATTTTATTGATTTTTTACAGAGAGGAAAGGAGAGGGGATAGAGAGTTAGAAACATCGATGAGAGAGAAACATCGATCAGCTGCCTCTTGCACACCTCCTACTGGGGATGTGCCTGCAACCAAGGTACATGCCCTTGGCCAGAATCAAACCTGTGACCCTTCAGTCCGCAGGCCGACGCTCTATCCACTGAGCCAAACCGGTTAGGGCGCCGCCACCCTTTAATACAGTTTCTCATGTTGTGGTGACCCCCGATTTCATTGTTACAAAATGAACCTAATTAAAGCATAGTGATTAATCACAAAAACAATATGTAATTATATATGTGTTTTCCGATGGTCTTAGGCGACCCCTGTAAAAGGGTCGTTGGACCCCCAAAGGGGTCGCGACCCACAGGTTGAGAACCGCTGCCTAAGAGCAAACTATGTGATGTTTGAAAATAACTGACAAGGCTAAACCGCCTCGCCTGCCTGAAGGAAACCACAGCATCTAGTGCCCCCTGCCGCCTTTTCAGAGGAAAGGCCATCAGTACGAAGAGTTCGATTTATTGACCGTGAAGTTTTGCTTATCGAGGTCTAAGTAGAAATCGGTATCAATACCCTAAATTTGAAGTTAGATTCGGGTTTTACCTTTTCTTAAATTCACCCCCTTGGATTTCAGTTATTTGCTTTGCCTTTGCGAAACGGACTTTTGCTTAATTATGCTTTTCTCATGTGCAGTTGTTTTCCTCGAACTTGCTGTTTGACTGTGGGGATTTGAACTGGTTTTGTCTTACTTTTGGCTCTTTTTCTCTTCCGTGAAGCCCTGAGACCGGCGAGAGGGGGCTGCGGCGTCAGCGGACGGAGGGCGGCACCATGGCCTTCCGCGGGGCGGGACAGGAAGTCTCCCGCCGGTTCCCGGGGCCCCTCTGCACCCGCCCCCCTGCGCTCGGGAAAGACGGATCCCCCAGGATTTAGAGCGCGCGCCCTGAGGCCAATGGGACGCTGGCGCATGGCTGAGTGTCAGGCAGGCTCAGCCAATGAACATGAGCTTTGGCGAGGGGACTCCGCCCCCTACTTGGGTCGCATAAATTCGTCCCACTGCAGCCCCGGAAGCCAGGAGGTGCGGCCGAGGCATCTTAGTAACGAAGCGGGCTCAGTGGCATCCACCGCGTCCACAACCAAGAGCGGAGCAGCCAGGTCTGCCCAGCATGTCGGAAGCTGGTGAGGGAGAGAGGAGCATGGAGACCACGGACACCCCCAACATGGACACAAGGCCGCTCCCGTAGGCGGATCGCCCGCCCGGACCCGGGAGTCCTCAACCTGGAGCCAGAAGGCCACGGAGGCAGACCAGATGACCTGCGGCGGGAGCCCGGAGGACGCGGGGCAGGTGCTGCGGGGGTGGGGGGAGTCTTGGTTCAGCGTCGTTGGGGAGCTGCCTGGAGGAGAGCGCAAGTGGCCGAGAGGAAGGTATGCCCTTGGCCCTGGGCTCAGCCAGGTCGAAGTTGGGGCCTCCATCCTCTCTCCTCCCTCCCCCCCTCCATCCTTCCCTCCAGCTGGGGATGGAGTCACTTAGGGACTGCAGTGTCCACTGACGCCAGGAATCTGGGTGCCTGAGTTCATATCTTGTTCCGCCCCTTACGAGCCAAGTGAACTTGGACAAATTATTTAATCCCCCTGAGCCCCCAAGTTCTCATCTGCATAATGGGGGCAACAGGAGTGCCGGCTTTCTAGAGTGGTGTAAGGGTGCGTTCAGTTAGTACACATCAAGCTCTTAGAATCATATCTGGCATGTAGCAAATGCTGATCAATATTAGTTATTTTTACTGTTGTTATTATAAGTATTTGACAATGTCTAATTCCGTGGCTCCTGCCAATGAAATGTATCAAAGCACAAAATTTCTCCCTAAAAGTATTGGGATATGTGGCCTCTTGAATGTCTTATAGGCCCACAAAAGCAAGCTTTACAAACCACTTAGGGATGAAGATGGAGTGAGCCACATCTTTGTGTCAGTCAGGGTGCAGGTGCCTGGGGACCAGTCCCAGACTAGCGGTAAATGACAGCCCCCCCCCCCCCCCCCCCAAGAGAAGCCCCAGGACAAGTTCACAGACTTTTTTCTGCTTAATAATCCTCACCTGGGAGCCAGTTAAAAATGCAGTGTCCTTGAGAATGGGGACCCATAGCCGGCCCAGCCTGGGGGGCCTGGGGTTGAGCAGGGTCGCAGGGCCTGCAGGACCACTATTAGTAACTGTCTAAGCCAAAGAAGGCCAACCAAGTTCCTTGAGAGTGACATCTGGTTCAGGGTAAGACAGAGGTAGTTGGTAACATTTTGATAAGAGGATTGGGTTTTGGTCTTGGGGTAAGAAAAACAAAAACAAAAAAAACCACACCTTTCAGTTTGTGGGGTGCCTAGGGCCTGGTGGGTGAGGTTGCCTGTCCTTTCCCTCTTCCACGTGGGGTTGCTGTGGTCTTAGGTTTAGTTAGGGTCCATGTAGAGCTGAGATGTCAGTAAGGAGGTAATGCACATTTGTTAACGTCTTTCAAGGGTAGACTGGGTGTGTGTGTAGGGGGTGTGTGTGTGGGGGGGGTAGACCTTGGCTGTGGATGGCGGCTTTATTTGTCATTTTTCCAATGAAAGATTTGGGAGATCCAGCTCTTCCTTAACTCATGGATTTCCTCTAAGACATTCTAAATCAACAGCTTCCTTGTAAGATTTCTTGTGGCCATGTGTCTCACCCTACCATTTCAGATAAATAGTTCGTTGGTGGCCTGAGCTGGGATACAAGCAAAAAGGATCCAAAAGACTATTTTACCAAATTTGGAGAGGTCCTTGACCATACTATAAAAAATGGATCCCAACATTGGAAGATGAAGAGGGTTGGGGTTTATCCCCTTTAAAAATGGAGAAGGTGAGCTGCATACCGCAAGTGGCCGAGAGGAAGGTATGCCCTTGGCCCTGGAAGTTGAAGAGGGTTGGGTTTGTCCTCTTTAAAAATGGAGAAAGTAATATTCCATCAAGGGCCCTTGTGTAGAGAATTTGATTTCTAAAAGAACAGCATGATCAGGATGAGTTTGTGTGGGCTGCATGTGGCCAAGTGTCCTGGGGGAAAGTGGAGTTTAGGGACTTACGATGTAAGGGGGGAGTGAGAAGTATATGGGTTGAGGTCCAGGTAGAGGACAGTAGGTATTTCTTTCCTATTTGGGGCACTGCACCAAACACTTCACATGTGAGGATTAGAGAAATATCCAAGGATGCAATGAGCTAAGTATTATGTAAGTGTCATTTCACAGAGAAAGAAACTAAGGCCAGAGAAGATTCAGTAACTACAGTAAATCACACAGTGAGTAGGGGGTGGAACAGTGAGGATTCCCTGCTGCTTATTCTGGAGGAAACAAGTCTTACACTGGTACTGCCAGGACAGGGAGTGAGGACTAATTTATGTGTGTGTAGCTAAACCAGCCTGACTTCCGGTGTAGATAAAGAAAATGAGAATTATAATACCAACGCAAGCATGATCCCATCACCAAAAAAGAAGGCTGAATGACTGTTATTTTAATGACAGATGGATTAGGGAGGTAAATAACCCAAACAGAGCATAGTGCACCATATGGAGAAAAAAACTTGCAATTGGATACAGTGGAGAAGGGGATGTAAAAGCACATATGGGGATGTAAAAGCTTGTATCTCACAAGTCCAGGATGAGGCAGGCAAGTACCTCTAAACCAATCAAAAGTGTTTTCAGCCCAGCCAGCATGGCTCAGTGGTTGAGCGTCGACCTATGAACCAGGAGGTCACAGTTCCATTCCTGGTCAAGGGCACATGCCCGGGTTGCAGGCTCAATCCCCAGTGGATAGTGTGCAGGAGGCAACCGATCAATGGCTCTCTCTCATCATTGATGTTCCTATCTCTCTATCTTTCTCTCTGAAATCAATAGAAATATTTTTAAAGTGTTTTCATGTCCCCAAAAGATGCCAGTGTTCAGTCAAAAATAGCAGCTGCTGAATGAATTAGCTTGGGCATACCACACAAACATGTATTATCATATGTTCCCTTGATTGTTCTATGAAACTGAGTAAGTTTGCATTTTCTGATTCAGAGGTTGCAAGTAAAATATCCTGTGGGAAAACAAAAGAAGAAATTTGGATAACAGATGTGTTGGCCCCTTACAGCGTAGAGCTGATTTTGCCATATCTCACCAACAATGATGTTTTCTACAGCATATCAACCTCAAGGGATGAGCTAAATCATGGCATCAAGAGGGAACTAGCTCTTACGTACTTTGACTTGAAAATGGAGTTTCAAATAGTGGGCTTGATATCTATGAGGATTTAACGAAACTGCTGAAATCATAAAACAAAAGATTGTTGATATTTTTTCCAAATGCAAACTCATCTATCTGCATATTTATCAGACAGTACAAATGTAAATTTTGGCAAATTCCATACAGTCTATAAACTTCTTAACAGGGATAATGAAAAGATCTTACCTATTCAATGACCTGCACATCTTATATACAACATCGCTAAAAAGGGTTGTGATTGCTTAATGTGATACTGAGATTTTCATAATGAAAGTTTGTGGTCATTTTTATCAAATGCAAAGAAGCACTTAATGAGTTTTTTTTACTTAATAGAAATGTAAGGAGATAACCTCTGTAGACATGTGCCTACAAGGGGGCATCATTGCTCCCAGCCATAGAAACCATGCTAAAATGTTGGCCTACCATAAAATCATATTTTCAAAGTGTGGGACAAGAATAATTCCTTTTTGAATTTGGAAATATATCGAGGATGAGAATGGAGAAAAGGACTACAGTAAGATAGAAGTTTATATGCTGTTTGCCAGCACTGTTTGATGGTCTTTGAAGAGGCCATAAAGAGCCTGTAAAAAGAATAACCTGACTGCACCTGAGCTGTTTGATATAAGATTGTTCCCGAATTAAAAAAAAAAAAAATGTCAACAGAAAAGGGAAGCCAAGTGGAACAGTACCTTCTTAATTTCTTTACTAGAACTGTAACTTATTTGGAATCCAACTTCGATTTCACCAGTTCTGAGCTTTAAAACCATTTTCCCTGAGAAGAAGATGTTTAACTTACGATGACATCCAGTGTGCTTCAGAGCATTTAAAAATGACATATTTTATTCCCTAGCCAGTTTGGCTCAATGGATAAAGCATCAGCCCGAAGACTGAAGAGTCCTGGTTCAATTCCTGTCAAGGACACGGACTTGATTGTAGGCTCAATCCCCACCCCTGGTCGGGGTACATGTGGGAGGCAACTAATCGATGTGTCACATTGATGTTTCTCTCTCTCTCTCT